AGTCAGAGGTGGTATTTACCGGTTCTCTGAACTACTCAAAATTTCCGCTACCGGTTCTCCAGAACTGATCAGACCTGCTGAATGCCACCTCTGGAGTGGTCTTCAACTTATGATCACAATTGAGACGAGAATTTCCACTGCTTAGGGAAGACAGTTGTTAAGTGAGTTCTGTCCGATTTTACATCCTTTTTTTGTGAGGGTAGTTAAGTGAATTATATAATTGTTAAGCAAATCTGACTTTCCTCACTGACTTTGCTTGCCTGAAGCTGACTGGGAAGGTCACAGATGGCGAACACATAAACCTAGGACATTGCAAGCAGCATAAACGCACGCCAGTTGCCAAGCACCCAAACTTTGATCACATGATTGTGGGAATGCTGGGATGGTCATAAGTGCAAAGACTGGTTGTAAGTCACTTTTTTCGTGTCATCATATCATCAAGCAGTTTCTAAATAAATGGTTGCAATAACCATTTGTTTAGAAATAACCATCTGTAAAGCATCTAATCATGATTTAACTACAAGTTAAAACTATTTTCAAATGTCTAAGGTCAAATATTGTTTGGATAGTTTTCATTCAATATCAACCTGGGGCTACTTTAAAAGAGAAAATTTAAATGAATGTAAAATTACGTAAGTTTTGATTTAACAGTGCCCTGGTTCTTCAAACAAGGAAGTTCAATCAGTACCAAAAGAAACACATGAAAATGATTACAGCCCCTTTGCACATCAGCAAGCAACAAGGATAATAAATATAATGAAAATAAGCATACCAGTGTGATTGTAGACTACATCTGTAACGCAAAGCATATTCCATTCATTTTTCATTTTTTCGACTAGTTTCCCCATTTCATTCCAAGAACATTTTTTGCTGGAAGATGAAAAGTCAGGATTAACTTCCAGCTGATCAGCCAATGAGTAACATGATCTAGACAGACCAAGTTTCTGCACTGGGGTTAGATGAATCATGTTATAACCTGTAAAATAATGATAACAAAATGTATAAACAGATGCTTTCCGCTTTCAAGTGGATAAGAGGACAGACATTACAAACTAGGTAGCATTTATGATCTAAAGCTATAATGCCAAAAAAAAAGTGGTTAAACCAGGTAGGCCTGAGGATACCCCATTCTAAGATCAAAGATTGCTTGGAATTTTTAGTGTATGTCAGCCCATTTAGGGAGACCAAAATTGTGATTTCCACAGAAAGGTTAGCAGTAGTTTTATTCAGAGTTACTGTAAACATAGAATCTTGCAAGTCTGATTGTGCTGCATCTCCTCCCATTCTTATGTGAATTATTAAAACGTCTATCTGAGCAGCTTCCACATACGGTACTTTCTGCTTGTTTGGGATTTAAGGTATATTTTTCCCCTGATCCTTTGATAACAGAACTTTCTCTACCTCTATCAAAGTCATCTTCCTCATTCTCTACAGTGTATTACTAGAATAAAGATGATAAATACACAGCCCAAAAGGTAGAACCACACAAATGACTCTCTAAAGTAGTATATGCCTTATATCTCAAGTCAATATTTGGCCTGGGGTAAATAAGGTTATTACCAGCTTCTTTTGCAACTTTAAGACGATCTTCCCATCCATCAAATGGTCCCAGACACTTGGCTAGGAATGTCTGGAGTGTAACACAATCCAAGGGCAAGACATGATTGTCAGCACCAACACGTAAAATAGGATCAACAACTAGATAACCTCCACCACCTTTCTGATTCCTGGAATAAAAGATACACGTATTGATTTTATAGCAATACAAAGAAAATAGACATTATCTTCACTCACTAAGATCAATAATACTCAGAATTCGTTTAGCCTTGTTATTTGAAAATGCAATTCAGTTTTTTAAAATTTTCTAGCTTACAGATCACAAAATAAATGATTCAAGAAAACGTACTTAATCACTTGGAATGATGTAAAAATAAAGTCAGACCCAAAGCAACCTAGATTCAAGAATATTTTCACTTCAATCATGCGGTCTCAGCAAATGTAAAATACTGGTTATGTTATGGCCCTTTATAAAATATTTTCAATCCTTCCACTCTAGAAAAGTTCCCTTGAAAAGAAAAGTGTAAGACTGTAATCTTATGCCTTGGCATTCGAGAAGAAACCTCTATGAATGCAATATTTTAAGGGCTGCCGACCTCACTTCTGAGTAGTGTGTTAGGAGCCAAAGTTCTCAAATAATAGAAGAGGCTAGAACAAGACTATTACCTATTTTTAAATTAATTGATATTTTTCCCACTGAAAGCGACACCTGAAAAACTTTTGAAAGTCTCTGAAACCCTGGGTTTAGACTTTACTCTCTGATATGCAGAATTGCACTGGTATAAAGCTGAAGGCGATACTGAACTATGAGAAACACAGATTAGCAATAGGACCATTTTTTTGCAAAAAAAAAGAAAAAAGCATAGGGATTTACTTTTAAGGCCACAAGCAGATTTATCTTTGGCTTTTCCAAGACCATAAGAATCTTTAACTTTAATTTCTAATATTTGTGGTTTGGGCTTAGCACTTTGAAACCTCTCACCTACTTTATGTACTTCTAGAATCACAAACATATAGTGGTGTATCTGGGAGGAAGCCCCATTGACTCAATGTGTATTGTTTTCAAGTAGACAAATGATGGATTGCTATTACATCCCCCCCCCCCCTATTTATGGCAGGCAACACTGGATTATATGTTGGCCATTAGGGGTAGTCTAGATAAGAAGCACCAACTATGAGTGCAGCATTAACACTACATTTATTTTAAGGTTACAGT